ACATAAATACGGGATTGAGGGGACATAAATCAGAAACCCCGGAAACAAAAAGACGTTCAGGGTCAAGAACTCTGGGAAACAAAAAGAGGTTCAGGAAATAACAAAGCGATGAAAATAGCTTCAAATTTCACCCGGATTCTTACCAATGAAAACGTGTCACCCGATAGTACTCAGCTGACTCTGTGCCGAGATTGATGCTGCCACCAAACTTCTCGACAAGGCATGTCAGAAACTCCCAGCTATCCCAGACGTCCCACCTCAGAGAATCTTTTTTCCGTCCAACGCCTTCATGGCTTCCGCCAGGTCGTTCAACACGTTCAATTGCATGTTGCAAATTAGGTCTCATTGTTAATTAGCGCATACACATGGCCGTCTGCTGATTGAGTGGCCTCAAGAGTGAACTGGTAAAGGACCTGTGTACAGTCCAGTAGGCCGTCACGAAGTCACCACCAAAACAAAAAAGGCAACCAAAACCAAAAGCGAAACAACCAACCCAAAACCAAAAACAGCAACACAAAACAAAACCGCCAAACCGAGGCGTGACAGTGCGGAAGGTAACCTCAACCTTCGAAACCTACTTGGGTCAGCGTCCAGGACGTCGTCCTTAACTCACTAAGACCGTCCACGCAACCAAGTCAACCACTCACAGAGCTCAGCCACTTTTACCAAACACACAAGCAACAAGGAGAAATGTCTTGCTCATGTCGCTATGGTTCTTGTTGGTGTGTCACGCCTTGACACAAAAATGATGCGGAGTCGCCAGTCAGCATCTTTCTGCTAACTTTCACAAAAGCGATCAAAAACACATGTCCTCACAAAAAGTCTTTACATCAAGACATGGTTTGTTTGGTTAAATAAGTTTGAGTGCTTGAAAAACGTTGAAACATTTCAAGCACCAAAACATGATTCATGATGTCTCCCTCAGATCTGTTAGCAACTCCAGTTCTGAATGCCTTTCAGAACGTTGCTCTCGCTATCATCATTGAGAGACAAAACAACTAAACTTCTCCGATCAATGTCAAACAAAGTTCCTTCTTCCGAAGTCACAAAATGAATTCTACGATCTTCTCACGATTCCTTCGTGCACTTCGTCGACGACAACTAATGCAAAAGGTATGGAAAATAGTTTGATTTTCCATGTCACTATACAAATTCAAATCCTCACGATGTTCTCCGTGCAATCAAAGTACTCAAAGAAGACGAAAAGTATATCGTTGTTGAGTTTCGTCATCTCCAATAAAACGTGCAAAACATGAAACGTGCAAATACGATGTCAACCATCACGGTTGAGCTCATCATCAAGATGAAAACCAAATTCACTTCTTCCAATGCAGAAAAGACCAATGGATTCATCTCACGGATGTCGGAAATTTTCACACCCCCTTTTGAGATGAACTCCATTCCATATACAAGCTATAACCCATTCAGACTTCAGCACATATCGCCCAAGTTCGATAGGTCAATACATATAGTACGAATTGTCCCGTTGTCCACCATCCAATGAACAACCAGCTCATAGTCTTTCCTCGCCTTTGCACCAATGAAGATACTCTCAATCACCCAGCTGCCTCTGCACTGAAGTTCCAGTGAAGCAACCCTTTGGCTTTCCAACCTTTCCAGAGTCCTCCACAACCTTGCATGCGCAGAGAAAAGAATACCAATCCTTTGCAATTGGACTCGTACTCTTGTTTCCCAGGTGACACATACTCCATTTGCAATAACCTGCCATCTCATCATCTACATATACCTCACGGTAGGTTTTGCCTTCATTGGCAAACTTTCCAAACGCAAACTTCGTTCTGCTCCAATCTCGAAAACTCATACCTTCAGGCACCAAATCAGCAGTAAGCTGATCAAGGACCTTGTCGGCAATCCCAGGAAAGATTGGGATAGGCATCACAGGCAACTGTGCACTCAAAGGTTCAGCTGCTGAAGAAATCACATCGAATTCATCATCATCCAGAGCCTCACGAAGTCGCTTGCTTCCATCTGTCATTGCTCCTTGACTCTCCAAAGGAGTCAAAATACTGGATCCGGCTGCATAGCCTGACCCTGAATTCTCACTGTGCCACTTCTTCTGAAGAAGACCAAGCAAAGCCTTCTCATCCTCATCTGTCCATCCAGACTTGGCCATGGCTACAAACCAAACCGCGTCCGGTAGTGAAAAAGCACTAGACCGTGGCTAAACTCTTAGGAGCAATCAACCTAGAACGTGAAACGAAGTGTCGAACCGCCATCACAATCGTGATAGGATCAGTGACCTTTCAGATTGTTCTGCGCTGCGCACACCGCATCTTACAGCATCGCGCAACAAAACTCTGCACAAGATGGAACATAGTGAAAACTCCTGTTTGTCTTTGGCAACATTTGTTTGAAACAACGTGCAAACAGAAATGAAACAAAATGAAACATGACGTCAACTTCTGTCTCTTTCTCACAATCACAGTCACAGGGCCCCCTTTCAAACGCAAATTCAACTCTTCTTCGAAGCATGTTTGACCGCAATCAAAATGTATCTTGCCAACTTCCGGTTGTAAAACGCTGTTTCAGTATAGTTGATTTGATAAAGTTCTGCATGAGTCTGGCATGTACATGTAGAAAGTTTGGAGTGAAGATTTAGTGCAAACCAAGCTGAATTGGAAACAAACTTCAATGTCTTTCCAATCGGAATACCATCCTTGTTCTGACATCCAGTCTTGCACAACCTCACCAAAGCCTCATGCCTCATGTCAAAACTCTGCAAAAGATTCACTGTCTCAGGTCGGGACCAAATGGTATTTCGTTCTGGAAGCTCAAACGAACATGAGTCTGCATGTTTGAAGTAACCACCAATCGCGTTGATGATCTCATCCCATTCCTGGTCCTTTTCAGTGACTGAGTCCGGATTGAAATTGCGAAGCGGACTTCCACTTCCACAAGGAGTCGATGCATGAATATGCACCCAAGGTGGACATGACGAGTTCTTCCACTGTCGAATGCAAACAGCTACACGACTCAACGTTCCAGAACTCTGCACCTTAGCAACTACACCAATGTATGGGACCTTTGAAACTTCACAGACCTTTCTCAAGTTCGAATGTTCCGAACAACACAGTTCCACAATCGCAATTGAAGAACCCTGAGTCAACACTTGCTGCAACACACTCAGCTCACGAAGTTCTGCCAACTCAGCTGTCAAACCATCTGGAACAACAATCCCAAGAGCATAACGGTGTTTATAGAAAGCTTTGGCACTCAAGCATTTAGTGAAAAGATCTGCTGGATTTTCAACACCACTTCTGTGTCTCAATTTCAACAAACCCTCTCTCATCTGCTCTCGTAACCAATGCAATCTTATCTCAATATGTCGCGAACGTCGTGGCACGTCCATGGATCTCACAAGTTGCAATGCGGAGCTTGAATCGCTCTCCAACCAAATCACAACTTCTTCTGGCTCATCGATCTCATGAAGTGCAAAAAGAAGACGGTGAACCAGTCTTCCAAACGCAACACTTTCTTGACACACTGATTGCAAACCATAAAGTTCTGCCTCACATGAACTCAAGCTCAAAGCTTGCTGTTGTCGGCTCAGAGACCTTACCAAAGACTTAAAGTTTACCAAAGGTCCAGAAACAGAAGTTAAAAACAGCACAAGGGGCAAAAGCCCACAAACATAAAAATACCCCTCCACGCATCCCTCACCTTAACCGCGCAACGTCGGACGCCAAACGAAATAAAAACTCAAACACAAAACAAGCACAGCTCACAAACTGAAAAACATCAAATCACAAGACTGACATGAAACTGCATCTTCACTGGTCACGCTCAAATCTTTTTGTCCATCGGCGAACTGGGGTTCGAGATTCAATTTCCACACGCTGCATTGGTCCATCGACCTTTTCAAGTGTTTCCTTCCTTTCCATTCATACATTTCACATCAAACGCATTCCAAAGAGGTCATAACCTCATGTTTCATTGAAAGGAAAAAGCATCGAAACATTGTGAAAAACATCTTTGCCTCATCAGGCCCCCACTTTAAGGGCGGGACAAACGAAGTGAGACAGGGCGGGTCAAACAAACACGTTGGGATGAAGGTTTCCCACCCACTCCACCCTGACTGCGGCATGCAACATACAAAATTGAAAGACATCCACTGCATGAACATGTTCATCCTCTTTGTTTCTGTTTGTTTCCCTTTCCTTTGTTTTTTTAAAACATTCACCATATATATACACGAAACATATATATATCCGCACATGTCGCGTAGACGCGGGGACATATAAAAACAGAGCAAGGGAAACGAACATCAGGTTTCACCAAAAACATGTCGCAACATCAAACAGAAACACACAGAACATGAACTGAGTTGAAACAAGGTTTGGTGGGCCTGTTTCAAAAGTAATTACTTCGTAAGACGTCTAACGCGGAGGAGGATGAGAGGCATAGTTTAAAGACAAAGGTGTCGCATTCAACCGCCATGAGGGGTAACACAATACCCTAGGGTTTGCATTCAGTTTCTGGACCATTCGGCAAAGCCTCATTGCTTTGTAAAACTTTAAACCGTTATCACTCTTTGAGTGACCACTGTCTTAAAGTTTACCAAAGGTCCAGAAACAGAAGTTAAAAACAGCACAAGGGGCAAAAGCCCACAAACATAAAAATACCCCTCCACGCATCCCTCACCTTAACCGCGCAACGTCGGACGCCAAACGAAATAAAAACTCAAACACAAAACAAGCACAGCTCACAAACTGAAAAACATCAAATCACAAGACTGACATGAAACTGCATCTTCACTGGTCACGCTCAAATCTTTTTGTCCATCGGCGAACTGGGGTTCGAGATTCAATTTCCACACGCTGCATTGGTCCATCGACCTTTTCAAGTGTTTCCTTCCTTTCCATTCATACATTTCACATCAAACGCATTCCAAAGAGGTCATAACCTCATGTTTCATTGAAAGGAAAAAGCATCGAAACATTGTGAAAAACATCTTTGCCTCATCAGGCCCCCAGTCCGCTTCAGCCAAGACATGTCTCAAGTGGATGTCCGTTCATTGGACACTTCGGCTCATCTATCAGCAGCTGACCCAAAAATCTGATAGGTTCCAGAGTGCCACGGCTAGGCGGGTCAGCGATGTTGGACTCAGATGGAACTCGGGAAGCCCAAAGTTGCGCTGGAAATTCTTTGTCAACTCTTTCTATGCTAAGCAAAATTTCTCTCCATGTTTTCTGTTTCGCTGTTCCAGGTATGTAGCAATCCAACACAGGCCAGTTGTCGATGAAAATGATGCCTCTCCGGTTGTGCAACCGCTCCTTCCAAACATCCCTAGCCACCGCAACAGCGTACATTTCAACCTGTCCAATCAAGTGTTCTTTACCTTCGTTGTGCCATCGAGCCAGAAGGTCCTTGGGGACATGGCTCCCAAAAACCCTTGCCGGTGCCGTACCATCCAATAGCACTCCACCAATCATTGCCACTTCGGATGTCACTCCTGGCTCGTATGAACCATCAGTATACAAAAGTAAAGGGCATTCTTCGGTGTTCAACACTATGGTGCGCGGACGGTTGTCCATAAATCTTTCCTTCAACATCTGCAAAGCAACTCTCGCATCATTGTCCAAACTGACACTAGACTTTGAATGCAACCCAAGTGATCGAATGTCTGCCATAGCCAATTTGCCTGTTCTCCCAGCCAGTTGCCCATCCGCAAATTGTAGCCGTCCCAAGACCGACGGCAGCACACAAGGAGTGACAGCCCCTTTGTCAAGGATGTCCTCGATCGCACTCAAAGCTTCCTGCCTCCTCGACTCTTTCATCGCATATACAAGCTTGACCTCACTCACCAGGCCGCAGTCAACGACAACTCCCAAAACCTCTGCACTTGTTGCGAAAGGCTCCAGTTTGTTCTCTGCAAAGCCAAATCCAAGAAGCTTCAACATTCCTTTTGGCTGCAGCCATAGTCGAGGCAGAAATCTCGCTAGGTGTCAAAATGGGATAATCGTCAAAATAGTTCACCCAAGGCAGTCGCAGTTCGGTCACTCCAATGGCCCATATCATTCTGCCTATCCTGTTGAAATTGTGGACAGACGAACTGGCCCCAAATGGCAGGCAGTTCATCACATAGTGTGTCGTCCCTTTGCCGTCCAAACGTTTCAAGCTGACAACTGATTTGCACCTGTCATCCTTGTGGATGCCAAATTGTTTGTAAGCGTCTTTCAAATCCAAGGTGCTGATCAAACACTTGAGGCTTTCCAGGTTCCAGGCCTCATGCAGCTTGCCACTCAAGCGCTCGCCATTCTTCAACGGGATCTCAATGACGCCCCTGGCCGCGGCTACCTTGCAAACAATAGAGATTAAGCAAGTGAGCTGGTCCAAAGCATGCAAGTCGATCTTTTCGGGACATTCCCAAGCTTCATTGACCCGGTTTTCAGCAAAGTTGTCTATGGGCCTCAGTTTGTTTTTCTGTCTGACGGCGAACCTTTGTACCGGCAACCACACATCTCCCAGCAGTCCGCTCACTTGTTCAGCAGACATCGGGCCTTCCAGCCACCCTTTGTCGCCTGCTTCGTTGTCTGTAATGTTGTGCAGTTCAGTCAGGTAATCCGGCGCTTTTGAGTTCGCAATCTTTCCCAAAATTAAAGGCCTGAGAAACTTTGCTTTTTCCATGAGGTCCATTTCAGTCATTGCTGCAGTTTTGACTTCAGATTTGAACACTCCAGACCTGGTGCCCTTACCCACAAGACGGAAACCCTCCAACATTTCCTTGTGTATTTCTGTGTCAGGCCATCCAATGTCTTGCGCAAGCTGTCTGAGGAGCAGAAACTGTTTGTCCTTCACCAAATGTTGCAAGTGGGGAGGTATCCTGGCATGCAAAGCTTTTTCCTCTGATTCAAGTTCACATCGCATGCGCCTCCATTCCAAAATCTTCTGCAGCCTAACTTTTGCAATGCCAACTGGACCCATGCTGAGGATGTCAAACATACATTTAAGCAATATGTCAGGGACGTTCATGAACTCGTCAAATGGATGCAGTAAATTTCTGCTGGCTTGCACAAACTGCTGACAAGAGTGGAAAATCCCAAAAACGCACAACACTTGTCCCCTTTTCGCTTCAGTTCTGAGCAACTTAGCCCCTGCCGGTATGTGTAAAACAGGGGACTGAATGACACGTTTATGATTGACTGCAGGCACCCTGTCCAGCACAATGGTATGGATTGCAGCGTATTCAGCAATGAGTTGAGGCACCTTGCGCCCTCTCGGTTGAGAGAAAGGCCTGTAAAGCTGTTTCGAATCAACGTTCTCCACACCTGGACCCTCGGGGGCTGCTGAAAAATTACCGGCACGTGTGTTCATCAAACGTGCCAAAACCTGACAGTATGCTTCACAAAACCCTTGGGGGTATTGAGCCTCCTTTGCAGTGTTAAACTCATTGTTTTCGTCAACACCCCATGGAGCATGTTCATGAGATCCATCGCAAAAGACACTGAGGGATTCAAACATAGTTTCATTCGTCAGCAGTGATGTCTTCTTTTTCCGAGCGCCCCCAAACATACAAGCATGCAAATGCACAAAGAAACAACATTCCAATAATGCCATGATGATGGGTAACTCCCACAACCAGCTGCGCGTGGGATTCTCTATCGTGATGATGTGGCCCAGTGTCACCAGCATTAACGCAAATTTGAATGCTCTCTCATACAAACTGTTCGCCGCTTCCACCTTCTTGGCATCGGACGGTGAATTCCATGGTAGGCCCATTGGGTGGGCGGCATCTCGAAGCGGTGGTGGGCTCCAAACGCCCTTCAATTGAATCTCTCTGGCCCTACTACAAGTCCCACACGGTAACCCCATGTGCCATGCCACAACTTTTGAAGTATCACGCACGTGCTCAAGGAATGACCATGCTTTGTCGTTCGCCAGGTCTATCTGAAAAATTTTTGTAAAGGGTGAATGCCTATTGCGTTCACAGTCAATGGGGCAAACTTTCATTCCATACCTTTCGGCAGTAGAACTGAGGATGCCGCTACCTGCACAAAGCTCGATGAAGACCGTCTCATTTTCCAAGCTCGGCACACCAAGTTCCCTAAAAATTGACTCCTTTCGGGGTCGTTTGTCATCCACCTGTGAGACTGCCGTTTCTCCTGCATCCACTGATAGTCATTCCCTTTTCTTTGAAGCCCTGGGGCAATCTTTCGCTTGGTGATCTCTGTGGCATCCTGCAACTGCACACAAATGCAACCCTTTTGAGCACCTTGAGTTCTGCACCGTAAGGCTGCACTTCCCAAGCTGGAAGTCGTAGCATAGCGGGTTCCCTTTGTTGGTGATTCCTACGCATCCCAAACTCAAAAGTTCCTGAGGGACAGATGGCTTCCATGTCTTTCCTGATTTACCCTTCTTCCCAATGCCTTTGGACGGACTTGGTTTGTCAATGGTGCGCTTGACTGGTGGTGCACCGCCCTTCTCGCCCGTCTTGCCAGGTGCATGTGACGCCTGAGGCATCGGCTGCAAAAGATGTTGAACCTCGGGGCATTCCATGACCGCCTTGAAGACCTTATCACATGGCCTGCCATCCTGTGTCACCTTCAAACCCATGCGGGTTCTCTCACCAAGCACCACAAACAACTTTGCATCGGCCAACTGTAACTGTTTGAAAGTGACCCTAGAATATCCCGAAGGTGGATCAGTGAGTCTGCATGCCATCAATTTTTCTGCCCATTGTTCATGCAGTTCAAAACCAATCACGTTTCCCTGTTCCAGTGCAAGGCCTCGTCTGATGAGGCAGTACTTGATCTGTAACTCCGATGAAACTTCACATGGGGACACATGCTCTCGCTTGCTCATCTTAAGATTACCGTTGCTGTCAAAAGTCAATGCATTGTCCTTCTTTGAAGAGGTCAAAATTTCATGTTCCCTTGAAGCACAACTTTCCCACGGAATGTATCGAAGTCTGTCAGACTCATAAATATTGACTGCAAGATCCACAAGTGAGTCTCCAGGTTCCATCTGGCCTTGCATGTTTATGCCTTTCAGTCTCTTCTGTTGTGACGAAAACCGTTCAGCCCTCTCTGCAGCAGCTAACTTTCTATTTGGGGCTTCGTCCGTCTGTTCGACCAACGTTTTCATCTCAGCTGAGGTCGCGGCATACGACTCATTGAAAAGTCGCCTGATCATGGCCATTTCTCCTAAGGAGCCTTCACGGCCCAGCACCTTCTTCACAAGATCTGTAAATGGGGAGTCATCTGAACTTCCAGGCACGTAAGATGACGCAAATGCAAGATTTCCCAATGTTGCTATGCCACCATCTTTGAAAAGCTGAATGACTTCTGCACTGAGTCCTATTGCCGCAGCCCTACTCGCAAAAACTGCTTCAGAGTCCACGACTGACATCGCAGGCAGGATCGGAACAAAGTCAGCTTGAATGCAGTTGCATGGACATGAGAAACAGTTGAAACAAACATCCGCAATCTTCAAAAGGCCTTTAAGTGAAACTTACAACATCACCGAACTTATGTATGGTTTTGCACTCGTGCACATTTCATTTATCTGCAATGGACACACATTCATGTCGCTCGCATTGCTGTTGACTCACACTAGAGCCTGAACACACATACATTTCAAACATGTGGCATTCCACTCAAAGTTATGTGCATCCATCGACGCACAAAAATGTTCCAACAAGAACCCATCGGTTCAATCGTCATGACGATACATGTATGCAACATTCAATCGAGGTACATCCCTCTACTTTCATAATCAACATGTCAAACGGACTTGATGCAAATCCGACTTTTTTATCAACATCCGACATCATCCTCGGTTGATAATGCGCTCACATGTAGAGCACAAAGGGTGGAGGAAGTCAGGCTTCTTCTCCAGTCTGATGTATGCCGTGGTTATCCTTCTCCCACAGCAAAACTCGGCACCTGCTTCATCCTGCAAGACATGGATGCACCGACTGGTGCTGTGTCTGAAAAAGACTGCAGCCACTTTTGACCAGGAAATGTCACGAGTTCCTTGCCAATGACCTGCGATCGCATCGATGGCTTCCTCGGCTTTGGCATCCTCAACATCCTCCTCGTCGCCCGAGGATTCGCTCGAGGAATCAAACTCCTCGGCTGCAGCTGTCACAAAGTACCCGGACCGGGTTTGATCCGGTAGAAATGCACCACTGGCCACCGAGTCTATCACTCGCTGCAATTCCCTCAGTGGGGTGGACATCGCATCTCTTGCATAGGTGTTGATGCTCTTATCACCACTGGAGGTATGATAACCCAATGCCCTCCGAATGGATGGATCCAATCCGAACTTCGCACACCAGCTGAGGAGAGTACATTTCATGCTGTGTGTCCCAACGCGGCTCAACTCGGGGCCTCCAACATCTTGCAAAAGAGATCTCAGCCAAATGCCTGCTGAGCTGGCACTGAGCGGCACGTTCGCCCATGACCCACCGTCGTTTGGAGCCGGCAACAGTGGTTTGCCTTCAGCAGCTTCCATACGGGCTTCACGCCTCAATTGTAACCATGCCCTGCTCCAATCCAAGCCACTCACCGTCTTGACCGGTGCAGACATGGGCAAAAACCTGGTTTTGCGCTCCAAGTTGGATGCGGTTTTGGTTCGTGCTGCATCAGCCTCGATCCAACCATGAGCATGACCGTCCCTCAAGGTGATGTCCAATCGCAAAGCAGCCACATTCAAAGCATCAGAATATCTGGCCCTGCAATATGTTGTAAAAACAAAGAAGCCAGCCGCTATGCGATCTTGCGATCCCCTGGCCTCGTCGACAACAATCTTCTCCAGGGCCACCAATTGCTCCACACTCAGTGGCGGCTTCTGCACCAATCGGCGCTTCTTGAGGAACCACGCGTGTGTCAAGCCCTTTGTCCTGCCACTAGCAATCTGCCCAATGTCACCCTTCAAGCCCAGCAAATGGTGCGCGAAGCTGATTGAGATGATAAAGCTCCTTGGGAAGGTCGGGGCAAATCCATCATCACTGTTGAGAAAATCATAGACAACCGCCTCCTTGACCGGCCACGGTTTCAGGCCATGTTCACTGCAGAACTTCGCAAAACGGAAAAGAGGGTTTGCCCGAGCATGCAGAGTGTTGGACGCTTTGGCAGCCGCAATGAGTCCCTGATGCTTTCATTCAGCCCTCCTGAAGCAAAAATCATAGCACCTTGACTGAAGTGTTGCACAGCCACTTCCCATGCCATCGGCTCTGATGACACCAGTGATGTCCACTTTCTGATTGCAGCCTTGCGTTCAGACGACAACCTGTCAGTCCACAGTGTTTCATCACATGCCTTAAGTAACTTGAGTCCAGCCTTTTTGAATGCCGTGTCAGCATTGTCCAGGTGAATTTCAACACGTCCACCTGTCGCTGGAGCCCCTCTGGGAACGAAGTCACGCACAGGAAGTGGAACCTTGTGCACATCCGTAGCTCTGTCATAAGGACCTATGAACCTTCTCTCCCATGGCATCTTGATGTTGTTCGAAAAAACATGCTTTGTAGCACTGACACATGAAAGCAAATGCAAACCCATGGCATCATCATCAATCGCTGTCTGAAAAGCCATCCCAGATCCCCCCGTCTGCTTGGTCGCTCTCCCACTCTTCCAACGGGGGTGTAGGAACACTGAATGATGACAGCACTGAAGCCAGTCCAAGGGTCTGTGCCGTTGCGCCTAGTGCTACTTCTGATCGTTCAACTGCCACAATGATATGCACCCGTGACAAAATGTGCTGTTCAGTTGGTGTGAGCAGTTCAAAAACTGAGACAGAAATGTCGTGAAATCGCCAGACCCGGTCAAAAAACAAGCAATGGTTGAATCCTGTTGTGAACCTGTCCAGCGAGCACACCAATCTCATGCACCAGAAAGCAGCCAGAAAAGGCAGGAAATCCAACCCAGGCTGAAGCACAAAATGTAAATGAAAACCTGAGGCACTTTCCAGGATGCCGGCTCCTTGTCAAAGAGCTTCCGGCCACGATCACGGGCGCCCATGCGCTGGCAATCAAACAAACACGTTGGGATGAAGGTTTCCCACCCACTCCACCCTGACTGCAGCATGCAACATACAAAATTGAAAGACATCCACTGCATGAACATGTTCATCCTCTTTGTTTCTGTTTGTTTCCCTTTCCTTTGTTTTTTTAACATTCACCATATATATACACGAAACATATATATATATCCGCACATGTCGCGTAGACGCGGGGACATATAAAAACAGAGCAAGGGAAACGAACATCAGGTTTCACCAAAAACATGTCGCAACATCAAACAGAAACACACAGAACATGAACTGAGTTGAAACAAGGTTTGGTGGGCCTGTTTCAAAAGTAATTACTTCGTAAGACGTCTAACGCGGAGGAGGATGAGAGGCATAGTTTAAAGACAAAGGTGTCGCATTCAACCGCCATGAGGGGTAACACAATACCCTAGGGTTTGCATTCAGTTTCTGGACCATTCGGCAAAGCCTCATTGCTTTGTAAAACTTTAAACCGTTATCACTCTTTGAGTGACCACTGTCCTCTCAAAGAAAACAGCTCCACCGCTAACACCTTTGCGGTTGTTAAAACGGTACGGCGCATGTGAAGCGTCGCTGAAAGAGTGAAGATGGACTGATTTCAGTTGAGCATCGTCAACTTGAATCATGATGGTTTCATCTCTGCTCCGTAGACACAAGCATGCATGCATGTCAACATACAAGAATCTCAAAACCGCTTTCAATGCTTGTTCAGTTCCGTGCGTCGGTTTCGCTTGCTGTGTCCCAAGAACAGACATCCATGTCTTCAAGTCATGACGCACCTGTGACAACCAAAGCAATTTTCCCAACGCCTTTCTGAAGCGTGAGTATGCTTCATCTGACAAAGGTTTCTGAAAGTTGCTATCCGTGAGTGTTTTCTCCAGATGTCCCGAAATGTCAGGAACATTCTCAGACCCACGAGTCACACCATAATCCAGAAACGTAGAGTCAAGATAATGTGGATCGACGCCCAGAGTGATCTCAGAGGAATCTCTTTCTCTTTTGATAGCACGACCAATAAAGGTCAGGGATCCTCCCTCTTCTTCGATCTCTCCAGTTGTCTTCACAGGCACTACAGACGACAAAGTTGCAACCACATGTTCCTCCGCTTCCTTAGTGGTCGACAACAACAAGATGTCATCAACATACACTACACACAAGCAAAATCCAATTTCATGACCATCTTTCACAATCTGTCCACCGTACACACATGGTTCCAGCGAATCAGACCAAAGGCCTACATGTTCAACCGTGAATGTCAGAAGCTGTAACCATGCCAGTGAAGCATCACGTAACCCGTTCAATGCCTTTTCAAGCAAATAATAGGTCGCTTCACCTGATGGAAAGCTAATCGACAATGGCATTTTCAAGACAACATGTACACCAGTTCCCAATGGGCTATGCATGAAGGCATGACTCACGTCCAATGCACGCAAAAGCATCTTCCGTGTCGCTGCCATTGCAAGCACCAAATGAACACTTTCAATCGAAGGGGTAGGACTACTAAATCCCAAAGATCTGGCTGAGGAGCCACGATTGAAGTCCTTCGCAACAATCCTGGTTCGAACCCTCTCACTGCTTTTGTAAGCTGCAACCCACCTCGACTGGATCAAACGAAGGTTCGGAACAGCCTTCTTCATGTCGTCCAGTTCTGACTGGGTGATGATGCGGCCAGTCTTGCAGTGTTCCAAGTTCCTAACCTCCTCTTGCATACCTTTGAAACCTTGTTCCAAATCAAGCTCTTGCAAACTCTGGTCATCTATGATGCTGTCCGGTTTCCAAACCAAGACATCCTGACCTCCAAGACGCATCTTCACAAAATCATGCTCATTGCCTCGATTGAAACAAACAGAATCAAGAGAACCAGAAAACATTTCAGGAGATGTTGCCGGATTTCAGGAGATGTTGCCGGAGCAAAAGACGCTGGACCTTCAAGTGTACCCAAACTCGCAACCAACACAGGTTCACCACTACCAACCCAAAACCAATCAAAATCCATGTTTGTTTGAAGCAGTTCCTCAGAATCTTCACGGATCTCTCTTTCCAACTGTTCTCGGTCGGTTTCAGCTTTCCTTTTAAACCTTCTAGTGTGCTCAACCTGTGTTTCCGGCTGTCGCCGAGCGGACTCAGGTGTTGGTACCAATTCTTCATCATCGACCTCTTCTACTGGTACCTGGACCTGGGGTGCGACAACAGGGCTCTCCTGAGAGAGTGCAGGTTCAACACGTCTTTCCTTTCTCCGTTGTTCCTCAAACTCAGCAAAACGCTTCCTACATTCCTTGTTGTGCCTAATACCAGGTGCTTCCATGCCACTCTCACATGCTGGACATCGACGAGTCGGTTCAAAACGTGATACGTCAGGTGAAGTTCTTTCAGAACTCTCAGGACTACCAATGGCTACATCTGCAGTATCTGCTGGTGACGTAGGAGATGGAGTGACAGAAACTCGAGACGGCTCTGCTGGAACTTCCTGTGGAGTCACGACAACGTTCGATCTTGCCAATGGCACTGCTGGCGCCAAACGCAACTCACCAGATTTCTTCTTCACACTGCTGGACTCTGGCAAGACAAGTTTGGGCTGTGAAGGTGCCGGCAAACTCTGACCTTTCAACTCTTCGCAACTCTTCAGGAGGTAGCTGACTCATATCAGCTGGTGCAGTTCCACTGTCATTCACAATTTGGGGTCTACTACCTACAGTCCCAGTGTCAAACTGAGTCAAAACTCCCTGTCCCGAATTCAAATCCCATCTCAAAGGTGAAATAGCCCTGATGTTCCTAGCTACAAAACGCATCAACTCAGCTTTGCCATCCACACGAATGAGACCCTGCACAACTGGACCTCGTTCCAATCCCATGTGAATGAAAGTACACTCAACATTCCTTGTTGAAAGTGGTGAATGCTGCCGAATTGAATCAGGAATTTCTGCCAAAACCTGAGCACCAAACAAAGTCGAAACTGGTTTGGATAACTTCCTTCCTGAAACCATTTCCAATGGACTTCTGTCTGAACCTCTCGATGTTGAAAAATGGTTGTTGCACAAAGCCAAATACGTCAAAACATCAACCAAATTCTCATGTGAAAATGTGACATCCAACCCTTGTGCATTCAGATCAGCCCTTAGTACAGAAAAGGATTCTTTTAATTCCCTAACTGCTCGCTCAGCCGACCCAATCGATCGATGTTGTTGTGGCGC